ATGCAGACTCTAATTCAGTCTGTCTAGGGTGGAGCCTGAGGTCCATTTCAAGCAAGCTCCCAGGTGATGCTGATCTGTGGTCCAGGGACCTCACTTTGAGGATGGCCTTAGACTGCGTCTCAATAGAACTAGGAGTGATTGTTCTCCAGTAGCCAGCAGCAGCTTGCATACACCACTTGCGTAGGTCAGTGAGAAACAGCTTATGGGGGCAGTCGTGGTTCAGTGGTAGAATTCTCACCTTCCACGCAGGAGACTTGAATTCTGGATTCCCGGCCAATGCACCTCATGTGCAGCCACCACCTGTCTGTCAGTGGAGGTTTGCGTGTTGCTATGATGCTAAACAGGATACAATAGAGCTTCCAGACTGAGACAGGCTAAGAAGAAAGGTCTGGTGATCTACTTTCAAAAATCAAACCGGAAAAAAAAAGATGCCGTCAAGTCGATTCTGACTCATAATGACCCTATAGGAGAGAGTAGAGCTGCCCCATAGGTTTTCCAAGGAGCGACTGGTGGATTCAAACTGCCAACATTTTGGTTAGCAGCCAAACTCTTAACCACTGTGCTACCAGGGCTTCTTCCAAACATCAGCCAGTGAAAACACTATGGATCACAAGGGTCAGATTCGCAACCGATCATGACGATGGCATAGGATGGGGATGGGTTTTGATCCACTGCACATGGAGTCACCATGATCTGGGGGCCAACTGGGGGTTAGCTCCATGGCAGCTACCAAGAGACAGCTTAACTGAGGCTGGGTGAAGCAGCTTCACAAACTTATTCTAGCACAGACGGACCCACCCACTCCCCTCCAGGCCCTCCTGTAGCTCCCACCATGGGGGACATATGACCACAACACCACTGCACATCAGAGAGCCGTTCAGCTGCCCCTCGGCAGCATCAGGAGGGCCTGGAGCTAGGCTAGGCTCATCCAGCCCCCTCACTGTGTTCAAGCCTTCTCTCAGCTCCTATAAAGCTGAAATACAACTTTTCTTTCTTTTTCCGTCATACCATCATTCATTCAACAAGCTGACCATTGGCTACATGCTAGGTGCTGGGCCAGGCATTAATCTGGACAGTTAAAGACAGCATGACTCCACGGAAAGAGCGCAGACCTGTGTTCAATTCCTGGCTTCTTCCTTCTTAGGTTAGGTGACCTCGAGCAAGTTACTTAACCTCCCTGGGAGCAATTACACCAACTGATGGGAATAAAATAAGCAGTATCGGCCAAGAGAAATATAATGTGGGCCATAATGTCATTTTAAAATCCCCAGTAGCCACAATTAAAAAAAAAAAAAAAGTGAAAAAAAAAACAGTGGCAATTAATTTTAATAATTTATTTAACTCAACAGATCCAAAATATTACCATTTCGGTATGTAACCAATATTAAAAAAAATTATTAATGAGATATTTTTTATTATTTTTTCATACAGTCTTCAAAATCCGGTGTGTATTTTACATTTACAGCACATTTCAATTTGGATTAGCTACATTTCAAGCACTCAAAAGCCACATATAGCCAGTGGCTACCATAATGGAAAGCGCAGAAAAACAGAATGTAGCATAAAGTACCTGGGACAAGGTCATCACTGTCTATATGGTAGCTATTATTGTAAAAAGCCCTACCACATTGCTAGGTGTATAGTAAGTGCTCCATAAATGACTGCTACTGCTGATGTTCTTACAGAGAGACCCCCCATTCATATTCAGGCTGTAAGCACAATCTTCTAGATTTAGGTTGGGAGTAGAGAAGATGTAAAGAGGACCATTTTCTACAATCCGCTCTAGTAAGTTTGCTTTGGGGTCAGGGAAGCAATAGAAGCAGACTGGGAGGTGCACAGTCTTGGAGCTTACAAAAGGTCCAGTAACTCCAAGTTCTAAATTCTCCTTTAATGATAGAATTGGATATTCATTATTTTGTAACCCCCAAGGAAATAATGAGTCTAGGCGAGTTCATCAATGTCTGCTAAAACCAATTAGGCGCAAAGGTGATGGGGATCTCTATGAGGGAAGAATCACGGCTACAACACCCAAACCCACTGGTCAATGTTAACACCACTAAAAATAGCACAACTGGACAATATTGGCCTCCTGATGTGACGCAATAAGAAGTGCACATCACCATCCATCTAGGCAAGATCCTTGCCCTCCCCAAAAAATATTTACACACCCACACACATCCTGAATCTAATCAAGCCTCTAATCTAACTACCTGTTTTCAGGAAATAAAAGAGATGGCGGAACACATTAACAACACCAAGAGGATCCACTTCACCAAATCTAGAATATGGGAAATTCTACAAGACAAACAACTCAAGTTCTTCAAGAACTAAATGGCATGGAGGGAAAAAACGTGTGTGGTAGGGTGTGGGGAGGAGGAGGTATGTTATGGAATAAGAGACCTACGTTTCATAACAACTGTAAAATGGCATTTTTGAGAAACTGTCCAGCACTTGCTTTCAAAAACTCAAGCAAAACAAAACAAAAAAAAAAAACATACAAGTCAACAAAAAAGTGGGAGAAGGAAATAGATGAGACAAAGTAGTCAAAATATTGATAACTGATGAAGCTGGGTGACAGCTTATATAGAGAGCTGCCGTGAGAGAGATGCCCTGACCGGACAGAAATTCCAGCTCCTGCCAACAGATGGGAGCATCTTTGCTCACAGTGTAGGTAGTGCTGGGCTACTTGCATCAGTCCCCTGGGGAACTTGCTTTTTAATATGGTTTTCCAAGTCCTACCCCAACCAACCATACCAAACCCACTGCCGTCGGGTCAGAGTAGAACTGCCCCATAGGGTTTCCAAGACTGTAAATCTTTACAGAGGCAGACTGCCACATCTTTCTCCCTCGGAGTGGGTAGTGGGTTTGAACCACTGACCTTTTGGTTAGCTTTAACCACCGCACCACCAGAGCTCCTTAGTCCTACCCCAGACCTGCAAAATCAGAATTTCTGAGTCCTGGGACTCTGCATTTTAATAAATGTTCTCCTGATGAATTTAATGAGCAATAAGTGTCATCGGTTGAATTGTGTCTTCCAAAAAGATATGTCCAAGTCCTAGCCCCTGGTACATGTGAATGTGACCTTATTTGAAAATAGGGTCTTTGCAGATGTAATCAAGTTAAAATGAGGTTATTAGGGTGGACTCTAATCCAGTATGACTGGCGTCTTTATAAGAAGAGGAGAGGAGACACAGAAACAGAGAAATAGGGAGAACACCGCATGAAAACGGAAGCAGAGATTGGAGTGATTGGTCAAAAACCAAGGAACTCCAAGGATTGCCAGCTGTTGCCAGAAGCTAGAAGAGAAGCATGAAAGAGATTCTCCCTCAGAGTCCTCAGAAGGAACCAACCCTGCTGACACCTTGATTTCGGACTTCTAGCCTCTAGATCCTCACTTCTAAGGAGCATTCTGGCTGTACTTCCTCCAAGACAGATTGTTCATTCTCCTGGAAGCCTGTGGTATATTCGATATTCTTCACCAACACCATAATTCAAAGGCGTCAATTCTTCTGTCTTCCTTTTTCATTGTCCAGCTTTCCCATGCACATGAGGTGATTGAAAATACTCTTTAGAAGCAAGGATGGCGAGACTTGGACATGTTATCAGGAGGGAACAATCCCTGGAGACAGACATCATGCTTGGTAAAAAGTAGAGGTTCAGAGGAAAAGAGGAAGGCTCTCAATAAGATGGATTGACACAGTGGCTACAACAATGGGCTCAAACAGCAACAACTGAGGATGGTGCAGGACTGAGCAACATTTCGTTCTGTTATGCGTAGGAACGCTATGAGTCGGACCCACTCGTCGGTACCTAACAGAACAACAGCCTCCAGAACTGTGAGAGAATAAATTTCTGTTGTTTTAAGCCACCCAGTTTGTGGGACACTAATACACTGACGCTGAGAACCACAGGTGTAGAAAGGCTGGCCATAATTATCACCGGACCCAAACCTCTTATCCATGGCAGGGGTAAGGTCCTTGCCTACAGCCTGAAGGAGACAGATCTTCAGGCAAAAGAGAATTAATTCTCTAAGAGGAGAGCAACAGTTTTCCCCTGGAGGCCTCTCTCCACCTGGTTGTTGTCAAATGCCCTTGCAGAGCCCTGAAGGTGACCACAGAAAGCCCCTTTGGGCTTGTACACAGGGACTCTGGAGAACCAACCTGAACACCCAAAAGCACCACACAGGCTGGCTCCCCCTATCAGGGACCACTCTCTTGTTTTCATTCCTTCCACTATCAATTTCCCCTTTCAGCTACCTCCGGGGTTTCTGACCTTTCCTTGCCACATACCAGGGCCACAACCTCGAAAAGCCATGCCAAAAATGCTTGGAAAACCTCCCCATGTTTTCCTGGCACGCGCCTACTCTCTGCCCAGTTTGTTGCACCCCAAAGCAGGTGTCCTGCTACTGTCATTCTGGGGCAGCCCCAGGGTTAACAAGGCAAGAAACTTTCAGCCTTCTTTTATGACCCGAATAATGCCTACAAAGAGCCCCTGGGTGGCACAAACGGTTAATGCCCCTCAGCTGCTAATCAAAGCGTTGGAGGCTAGAATCCACCCAGAGGCACTTCAGAAGGAAGGTCTGGAGATCTACTTTTGAAAAACCAGCCGTTGAAAACCCGATGGAGCACAGCTCTACTCTGACACACATGGGGTTACCATAAGTCAGAATGGACTCCACGGCAACTGGTTTGATACATACAACAGACACACTCTCCCATCCTCCACCCTTACTCTGACCCTACCCATCAACCCTTCCCTGACCTGCAGGGTCTGCTCAGTGAGGCACTCTCTGCCCCTTCTCTCTCTTGCAAGCTCTAAACTCTTCCAGGCTGTGCCCTAGGACTAGAGCTTTCTGGAGTTTTACTTTATGTGTATTCTTCAAGAAAGACCATAGACATGACCTCGATCTAGTTGCACAAGTACTTTGCACCTAGGAATTGATTGTTTGCCTAGTCTCACCCTCCTTCATCACTTCCCTCCCTCATAGTTCCCCAACTTACCCGTCCTCTGGTCCTATTCTTTCGCTTGGGAATATCCTCTTCTAAATCCTCTTCTTCGTTCCCCTCTTCTACATTTTCATCATTTTCCAAAACCCTCTGAAATAACAAGAAAATACATAAAAGGACTGAGAAATAAAGGGCAAAGGAGAAAATCATCAGAGAGTAACATTAGGGGATTTGTTTTGGATGCTACCATGCTTGGAAAGCTGGGTCTCTGAAATGTTGCCTGAGTTTGATCTCTTGGTGGTACCAACCCTCTCCCACACCCTTGGATCCCTTCCAGCCAAGTCCCCCCAGAACACTGACCTTTTTAAACTCTTTTTGCCCATGAAAACAGATTTCAACAACATACCTAACCATATAATTATCAGAATACTCTGGTAGAGGGACTTTCCTACATGGGGCCAAGACGTTTGGTTAAAATTTATTTTCTTTAATGTAACATTTCCCTTTGTTCCTGAAGGGCCACCTCAGAAATATGAAAATATGTTTCTCCTTTCCCTGCTACTCTGGAATCCTGCCCTATTTGATGAAAACAAGTAACTTCCTGCTCCTTTAACCAGAATTTGACATTAATGTGTTGTTCATAATAATCCATTATTATTTTTTAAGAAAAATTGATTTTCATTACAGCACATTACTTGTAATGGAACTTAAAGATCATGAATTCCATTACCTCTCCCCAACAGCCCTGTGAGTCACAGTGCAGCATAGAATCCGATTTCCATTTTAACAGGTGAGGACACTGAGGCTGAAAACAGTTTTACCTGCTCAAGATCATACAGAGAATCTATGACCAAAGCCAGGTCAGGATTTGTCAGCTCAGAATTTTCCTTCATTTCTCAGCCCTTGTGATAATTCCAAGGTGTGTTTATGGTATATACTTCATGTAAGGTCCTGAGCACTTTATTCCTTTGAGGGGAGGGAAGAGGAGAGGAGGAAGTAGGGTGTGTATCTCTAGCTTTAAGGGCAGGATAAAAGATTGTGGGAGAGGATCCAGCATCCCACAAGGACCGTGGGCATGGCGCTTACTGGACTCCATGTCATGGGCCCTGGGTTTTTTACTTGGCTCCCTCTGTGACCTTGGGTAAGTCATCATCTCTTCATACCTCAGTTTCCCCACTTACAAGATAGGGATTCATTTGTTCATTCCATCAGCAGACATTTATCTAGGGTGGACTACATGACAGGCACTGTGCTAGGCAAGCCTCAAAATGGCTACAGTCCTGGCCCCAAATGGACTTTAGTCTAGTGAGGGAAAGGCAATTTTAGACAACATACATAACTATATAATTACAGCTGGTATAAAAACAGTGACAGGCAAGTTCAAAATGCTATGAGAGTGTGCTAGAAGGGAATTTTACCTAACCTGAGGGTCAGGTAAGGTTTCCCTGAGGAAGTGACCTAAGGAGGTCGAAATCTGAAAGATGAGCAACAGTAGTCTTGTAAATGGGAAGAGAAGGGAGGAGAGAGAACAGCATGAGCAAAACACTTAAGGCAGGGAGAAGAACATGTCTTGTCCGGAGAGCAGAAAGAGGCCAATGTGACCAGAACCCGGAGGCTCAGGGAGAGACTGGCATAACATGAGTCTAGAAAAGGAGGCAGGTACCAAGTTATACAGGATAACAACATCCACCCACCCTTTGGTGATGGTACAAAAATCACATAACCCATGAAGAGGCTTAGACAGTAACACTCACTGTACTGACATCTGGTATCCCCATCACAGTTCCAGTGGCCTTCTGGGCATTCTTTGGCCTGTCCTCAAAGCTGGAAGCCCAGGAGTACATTAGTCAGTAATCTTCTCCTACTGCCTCTTGCCAGAGAGTTCTGCCCCAATCACGGTCAGGATAATGCTAAGTTCCAAATTCCTTCCAAAGAACTCAAAACAGGTCAAAAAAGTTCTTCTCTGGTTTCTCTACTATGTTTATTTGGGAAGGCACCAGCTGACAGCACTTACAAGTCTCTGAGCCAACTTTAGCCATCTAACAGAGAACTAGCACTATCTGCGGGACACAACCTCCAGCCCAGAGCTAGGAAACTTTGGGCCAGGTCCAGAGCAAGCCTCCTAGCCTGTCTTGTCAAAATTTATTTTCTTGGCTTTCCGAAACTGCAGGTGGGAACAGTAGAGAAAGTCAAGCAAGGCGATGACAGGTCAAATACTCTGTGATATTCAGTAAAAAGATGGGATGTAAATATGAGGAGTCCACAGGTGGTACAAACATTTAACATATGCTTGGCTGTTAACCAAAAGGTTGGAGGTTCAAGTCCACTCACAGGCAACTCAGAAGAAAGGCCTGTTGATCTATTTCCAAAAAAATCAGCCGTTGAAAACCCTATGGAGCACAGCTCTACTCTGACACACACGGGGTCACCGTAAGTCAGAGTTGACTTGATGGCAACTAGTGTTTTTACTGGTTTAAATATGAGGCATTATCTGACAGGGATCACAACAGAGGGTCCTGGACAGAGCTGGAGAAAAATGTAGAACAAAATTCTAACTCACAAAAAAAGACCAGATTTACTGGCCTGACAGAGACTGGAGAAAACCCTGAGAGTATGGCCCCCGGACACCCTTTTAGTTCAGTAATGAAGTCACTCCCGAGGTTCACCATTCAGCCAAAGATTAGACAGGCCCATAAAACAAAACGAGACTAATGGGGCACAACAGTCCAGGGACAAGGTCTAGAAGGCAGGAGGGGACAGGAAAGCTGGTAATAGGGAACCCAAGGTTGAAAAGGGACAGTGTTGACATGTCGTGGGGTTGTTAACCAGTGTCGTAAAACAATATGTGTACTAACTGTTTAACGAGAAACTATTTGTTCTGTAAACCTTCATCTAAAGTACAATAAAAAATAAAACTAAAAAAATAAATATGAGGCATTGTTATTATGAGTGTTGTTGCTGTTCGTATAGCCATCTTGTAAACTTTCTGGGTTTTGAAGTCATTTAATCATGGTAAGCGCCTTGATTTTCAAGGTCATTGCCTCTTACATCACAGTACAACTTTGACTCCACTCTCATTTTGCCCGCAATGTGGACTCTGGGTTGGGAGTTGAAAAACTGGTGAAGGCAGTTCAGCCAGCCTAGAAGTGACACATAGTCTCAATGTCCAGGTGTAAGGTGACTTCTCCCAGAGGTTCTATCCCTTCCTCTTCCCATCTGCTTCCCTGTGGCTTAGAACCAGTCTGTGCTTCAGGCCTTAGTCGTGATAGCAGCTTCCCCAATGTGTTTGCATTTGTCACAACGCAGAAGCTTCTCTGCGTAACTCAGGAGGAGCCAGGAGCTCCTAATGAACAAAGCTAATATTCAGGGTTCAGGAAAAAGACAGAAGGTCCTGTACTTGGAGTGAAGGGCAGGGGTGGGTGGTCCAATTACAGATACAACTTGCATTCCCTGCCCAAGGACATTAGGGGGAAATAAATATTCTTTTTAAAACAACTTTTCTCCCTGTTATTCTAAACACTCCTTATAGTGATAACAATGGTTTGTGGTTGTGTTGAAGGGGAAAAAAAGGAACTTTTTTAAAACTCCATTATCTCTGGCTTGGAATACAGCAAAAACCTCATAACATTTCTTTCCTTCTACTATTGGCCCCACATCCAATCTCCTCTCCATGCAATAGCCAGAGGGATCTTTATGAAACACAAATTCGCTGCACTCATTCAAATCCCCCAATGGCTTCCTTTTTAGCTTCTCATAAAAATCAAAAGCCCATTCCATGGCCTGTGAGGCCTGCATGGTCTGGCCCCTGCCCACCTCTCCAACTCCATCCTGGGCTCTTCTCCCCTGGTACCGTGCTCTGGCCACACAGGCTTCTGTTGGTCCTTTCAACACAACAAGCTCTGAGCTATCTCAGGGCCTTCAACCATGCTGTTTCTCTGTTCAGAAAGCTCCTCCCTGGGATTCTCACTTTGCTGACTCTTCTCATCTCATAGGACTGAGATTAAACTCCTATCTCCCTTAGGACTCTACCTGAAATCTGTCCCTCCTCTTATACTGAATCTTCTAACCCTGATTGTTCTTTTCATAGCATTTATCCTGATTGGCAATTATTTTATTTGTTTGTTTGTTTACTTTTTCTCTGTCTGCATCAGGGTTGTATCCTTTCACCATACTTATTCAGTTTGTATGCTGAGCAAATAATCCAAGAAGCTGGACTATAGGAAGAAGAACACGGCATCAGGATTGGAGGAAGACTTGTTAACAATCTGCAATATGCAGATGACACAACCTTGCTAGCTGAAAGCAAAGAGGACTTGAAGCACTTACTGACGAAGATTAAAGACTACAGCTTTAGTATAGATTATACCTCAACATAAAGAAAACAAAAATCCTCACAACTGGACCAATAAGCAACATCAAGATAAACGGAGAAAAGATTGAAGTTGTCAAGGATTTCATTTCACTTGGATCCACAGTCAATGCCCATGGAAGCAGAAGTCAAGAAATCAAGCAACGTATTGCAGTGGGCAAATCTGCTGCAAAAGACCTGTTTAAAGTGCTGAAAAACAAAGATGTCACTTTGAGGACTAAGGTGGGCCTGACCCAAGCCATGGTATTTTCAGTCACCTCATATGCATGTGAAAGCTGGACAATGAATAAGGAAGACTGAAGAAGAATTGGTGCCTTTGAATATTGTGTTGAAGAAGAATATTGAGTATACCATGGACGGCCAGAAGAACAAATAAATCTGTCTTAGAAGAAGTACAGCCAGAATGTTCCTCAGAAGCAAGGATGGCGAGACTTCGTTTCACATACTTTGGACGTGTTATCAGAAGACACCAGTTCCTGGAGAAGGATATCATGTTTGGTAAGGCAGAGGGTCAGTGAAAAAGAGGAAGACCCTCAATGAGATGGACTGACACAGTGGCTGCAACAATGAGCTCAAACACAGCAACAACTGTGGGGATGGCACAGGACCGGGCAGTGTTTCATTCTGTTGTACATAGGGTCGCTATGAGTTGGAACGAACTTGACAGCACCAAACAACAACACCCTGATTTGCAATTATTTTATTTGTTTCTTTGTTTACTTTTTTTTCTGTCTGCATGTCACACTAGAAGTTCCATGAGTGGAGGGACAGGTCTCTATTGGTCTCTCTGTTTCCCCAGCACCTAGTACAGTACCTACTCAGAGCAGGCATTCAAAAAACTTTGGTTGAGGTTCTACAGAATAATCCTTATCAAAAGGGGGGTGGAAAAAAGTAGGACAGAATTTCAAATTTTCAACAGAATCCAGACCTTCTGGAGCCACTGAGGCTGGACAAGCCCCCAAAACTATTGCCCTGAGATATTCTTAAACCTTAAACCAAAACTATCCTCTAAAGTTTTCTTTGAGCCAAAAAAATGTTGTTAGGTGCCGTCAAGTCAATTTTCAACTCATAGTGACCCCATCTGACAGAGTAGAATTGCCCCATAAAGTTTTCCCGGCTGTAACCTTTATGAGAGCAGATCACCAGGTTTTTTCTCCTGCAGAGCTGCTGGGTAGGTTTGAACCACCAACCTTTTGGTTAGCAGCCAAGTGTTTAACCATTGCACAACCAGGGCTCCTTGAACCAAAATATAGTTTTTCTTAATTAGTAAAGTACATCTGCTTTGAGCATTGTGCTCTTTTAAAGAATTACCTATATGAGATTGAATTGAAAACAGCAACTCGAAAGGTTGGATGAGAAGCTTAGGGGGCCATGAGTTTAAGATAATGGTTGTAGAATAATTTGGAAAAGGATAGCAAGAATGGTAGCACAACTTGAAGAACATAACCAACGTCACTGAATTGTACGTGTAGAAATTGTTGAAATGGTGTATATTTGGCTGTGTATATTTTCACCACAATAAAAAAATAAACTTTGGTTGAAGGAATGAATGAATGAATAAACAAACACAGTCCATTTACTGCATATATACTTTATTTTAGTAAGTAGAGCCAATAAAAATGTATGAACTCTTTTGTTTATGGTTCTAGTTTGACCTTCTGGCACTGTAGATAGTAGCCCCAGGCTCTGAACATAGTAGACATTCTGTTTACATTGGGGATAATGGTGATGACGATGATGAGGATAACAACGATGACTCATAAACTGGCCCAATGATGCATGAAAAGAACTGGACCCACCACCAGCTTTGAAGGGAAAGGGTGGCCTGTCACTAGAGCATAAAGACTTCTTGACAGTGGTTCTGAACTATTATTCACTGATTCTTTTAAATTATACTAACTAAGCAAAAAAATACAGATATCTGGGCAGGTAATACAGAGGTCACAGATCTTGACGTCAATGACCTTGAGTCCAAAAATGGAGGAGGAAGAACTCCAAGGAAGAAAAGTACCAGAGTGCCAGAGGTGAGACAAGTTTAGCTGGGAGGAGACCGAGAAAGGCTTCATGGGGAAGGTGGCATTGGGACTGAGCCTAAAGGATGGGTGGAATTTGTATATGTGGAGAAGAAGAAAAGGCACGCCAGATAAAGTGCCCAGCATGACCAAAGGCAGAAGGGAAGAAGGCTGTGTGTTCAGCCTAGTTGGGCAGAAGAACAGAGGGAGTCAAGGATGGTGGAAAATAAGCCTGAAAACAAGCCTGGGAGCAAACAGAGGCAGCCCAGGAAGGCCAAGGTCATCATGTTTTAATTCATTTAGTAGGAAACAAAAGTTGCTCAGTTTTTCAGCAAGGGCGTGGCACAAGACAAAATGTCTGCTAGCAAAGTAGGACATGTTGGAACAGGGAAGGAAGGACTGAACACAGGGCAACTTGTTGGAATCTGTTCATTCATGCATGCATTCAACAACTATTTATTGTGCATCTACTATGGATTTCCTAGGTAGTGCAAGCTGATTAACGTACTCGCTGCTAAATGAAAGGCTGAAGGTCTGAGTCCACCCAAGGGCACCTCGAAAGAAGGGCCTAGTAATCAACTTTTGAAAAATCAGTCAATGAATACTCCGTTGAGCAAAGTTCTCCTCTGACACACATGGGGTTGCCATGAGTCAGAATCTACTCAATAGTAACTGGTTTACTACGTGTGCCAGGCATATTAGTATGCAAAAGAGACTCTTACCCTTGAGGAGCTTACAGTCTAGTGGAAGAAAATAATAACATAATAAGTATATTACAAAATATGTTAGATGGTGATGGGACTATGGGGAAAAAAGAAGCAGTAAGGGAATCAGGAGTGCTGTGGGGTGGGTAGGGAGCATACTGTGGTATTAAATATAGTGGTCAGGGTACACTTCATAGAGAAAGAGAGATGGGAGCAAAACCCTGAAGAAAATGAGAGAGCCATGCAGGTATCTGGGAAAGGGACTTTCCAGGCAGAGGAAACATTCAGAGCAAAAGCACTAAGGAAGGAGAGTGCCCAAAGTGTTCTAGGAACAGAGAAAGGAGGCTGGTATGTCTGGAGCAGAGTGAGAAGGAAAGCAGGGAGAAACTGAGTAAGAGAGAGGAAGGGGGCCTGTGACTTTTACCCTGAGGGAACCAGAGCCACTGCTAGGATTGAGCACAGGAATGACAGAAAGTTCACTCTCACACATGAGCAGGGACACCATTTAGTTGGTGAAAGCAACAGTTCAGACAAGAGATGAGAGTGCCTTGGACCAGGGCAGTAGCAAGCGGATGTGCGGAGAAGGAGTTACGTTCTGGATTTACTTCGAAGGTTAAGTCAACAGGATTCCTGATGCATCAGATGTTGGGTACAAGGGAAGGAGAGGGGGTAGTCCAAGATGACTCCTGGGTTTGTTAGACAAACAGAGGTTACAGTTAATGAAGATCTCGACTAGGACTGTAGCTCACAGAAAGCAGAGGAGAGAACAAATATAAGCCGTGTTATGGCAACTAAGTGGAAAACACTTGACAATTCATCTTGACACACTAATAGCAGAGGAGGGACCAGATTCATTGATTTATTCTGCCCCCTTACCGATAGCTGACTCTGTGCTGGGTAAACATGCGAGGCCCCAAGAATACAATGGTGCACGTGACAGCATGCTCCCTGACTTAATGGAACTCAGAGGCTGGCAGTGCTTATTAAGTAAACCAAAAATTTATTAATATTAATAAGACTGTACTAATACATATTATTCAAGTTAATGTTAATATTATTTAGTAGTAATAATATTTAATTGTAATATTAAATATTGTTTTCTTATATGTTTATTATGTTAAATAATTATTTTAATATTAAATAATATTAAGTACTTGTGGCAAAATAAGTTCCTTTGTTGGCTTTTTGCCTTGGTTCTTTGGAAAAACAGCTTGAGAGATTTTCTCCCTAAACTCTGAGGAGTTACCTTTGCCCTAGTTTTCTGCCCCAGAGGGTTTGTTACTTTTGTCCAAGTTGATTGACATTTCCTGGGCAAACTGTAAACAAGGATGGTTTGATACTTTCTGCCTGGCCCAGTCCTGCAGCCTGTCCTATGATTGGGATGCACTTTGCAGGGATTGGTCAATAGACTATGTAAATGAGGTGAGGTGTAGCCTACTATGCAAATGAAGTATCTGTGGCCTACTGAGAGGGGATTGGTCAGTTCATGGCTATGGTAGGCAGGGCCAGGCGTTAAAATTGACAAGGAGTTTGTGTGTTTAAGCAGCCAGCCCCACAGAGGCTTTTGGAGACAGAAAGCAGCAGGAAGAAGTGGAAAGAAGAGAGAAGAAGCAGAGAGAGAGTGGAGGCAAGGAACCTCCTAAAAGAGCTGTAACAGGGGTCAAGGGCGGTAACACTGAAGACAGCGACAGGTCCAGAAGGGGCCCAGTGGCAGAGCTAGCTGCCACAGACGGCAGGGCCAAAAAGCCTGTGCTCAGGGGAGCAAGAGGAGCCTGTCCTCAGGGGGCCAAGAGGACACCTGTCTTCAGAGAGCTGAGAGGAGGCCTGCACAGTCAAGAGAGCTGAGAGAGCTGTCCTGCACTGAATAAGGGAGAATTTGCCTGTATGTTTCCTGCTCCCGAGTTGTACCATTACTTCCTTAATAAATCACTTAACAGTAAGTATACTCTGTAAGTTCCGTGTGGCCATTGCAACAGATTATTGAACCCAGAAGAGAAGTAGAGAGTGCCGTGGGAGTAGAGAGTGGAGGTATGTCTGATCTCCACTTCACAGAGATCAGCCTTGGGCCCATCTTGATTCAGATTATCCACCCTGGATTTAGGCAGGTTCTGATACTACTACTCCCTCTATTTTACAGTACTACTAACATTAAAATATATGTGGTATTATTTAATATTAGACAATGCTCTGTGGTAGACAATGGTGGTTCAAGATAAACAAAAAATAAGAATAGTCGTAGCACATTAGTATAGTCCAGTGTAGTAAGAGCTCCAATAGTGCTGTGAACAGAGGGTGGCACACATGGGGACAGAAGTGATCAACCATGCATGGAGGGTGACGCCTAAGCTAGCCTTGAAGGATAAATGGATGGTGCTGTGAAAAAACTAAAGTCTGAGGAACTAGAGCTGAGGGTGGGGTCTGAGGGGAGGAGGGGACTGGCTGGGGCAGACAACATCAAGGCTCTGAGCCTGGACGACAGACCAGTCTGTTTGTGTACCATTGTCTCTACAGAACCCAGCACGGTGCTGGCATACAGCAGGCTCAATACATACCTTTGGAATGGATAAATAGGGAAAATCGAGGGATAGGAACTGACTTAAGAGGAAAGATGAGTTCTTCTGGGGACATGTTAAATTTAAATGAATTTGTGACCTCTCAGGCAGCAATGCCACCAGGCAGTTTGAGAGGAAGGTCCAGAGCCTATGCTGGTGTTCTGGAAATACACGGCGGCAATGCTCTGGTGTGTCCCTGAGAGGGCCAGAAATACCTGTATTCCCTGGTTGCTTTCCTCCTCTCTGGCATCCACCTTCTTCTCCACCCCCTCACCGCGGAGCAAGGCTTCCAGGGTGGTGCTTTCTGAGGTGAACCCATCCTTCTTCAGGGGCAGCTCCACTTCTGAAAGCAAGGACAGAAAGGTGGGGTCAGGCCACTAGAAGTGGGAGGGGTGGGAAGGGTGGTCCTTGAGGGCATTCAGGGACCAGTGCTCCTGTGTAGGAATCAGGCGGCCTGTTTCTCTCCTCCTGGTGGAATAGGAACACTGGAGTTGGATCCAGTTTTTCCGTCTCCAATTCATAAGCTCAGAGGCAGATTCCAGCCCTGCCCGCAGCCTCAGAGACAGCAGAGGCAGAGCAGAAGGGGCGCCAGCGACCATGGGGTCAGACAGCCTGGTCTCGGTCCTGCTCTGCCACCCTCAGGGCCATGTGACATTGGACAAGGCACTCTAGGAGCCCAGAGCCCATTTCTGCATCTATACAGTGAGGATAACAATGCCTGACCCACTGTGTTCATTTATGTTAAAGCATTTTGAAAACTCTAAAGCATTATACCAATGTTGTCCTCAACTGTTATTATTCTCTCCCTGTCTCCCAACTCTGTGTCACAACTCCATTACCTCCCCTTAGCTATGCTGGCTTCCCAGCCCAGTTTGCTCCATAAAAAGCTATTTCTGCCTCAGAGAGGATGTTCTAATCAATTCACGGGGGAAGCAGAGGCTTCTAAAGCCAAAGGTAGAGAAGGAGCAGGCGCAAATGCCTAGCAGGCCCCAGATCAGCAGAGCGGGAGCTGCAGTGCTTGCACGCTCCAGGGGATTCTTTCTGAAGACATCAGGAGTTTCATCGGCCACATGGGGCTTGAGGTCATAGCCAGCTGAGCAGTGGCAGCACAGTCAGCTCTGTCCATGAGAGAAACCAAAGAAAGAAGCTAAATCCCTTCTCTTCAAAGGGTCCCCATAATCTTCTAACCCAAAGGTGATTGATTTTTGTTTGTTTATTTTTTAATTAAAAACAAAAAGTTCAGACTATTCACAATAGTCAAAAGTTGGAAACACACAAGTGTCCATCAATGTTGTTAGGTGCCGTCGAGTTGGTTCCAACTCTTAGCAACCCTATATACAACAGAACGAAACACTGCCTGGTCCTGCTGCATCCTCACAATCGCTGTTATGTTTGAGCCTATTGTTGCAGCCACTGTGTCAATCCATCTCATTGAGGGTCTTCCTCTTTTTCACTGACTCTCTATTTTACCAAGCATGATGTCCTTCTCCAGGGATTAGTCCCTCCTGATAACATGTCCAAAGTACATGAGACAAAATCTCGCCATTCTCACTTTCAAGGAGCACTCTGGCTCTACTTCTGCCATGACAGACTGGTTCATTCTTCTGGCAGTCCATTGAAGATTCTTTGCCAACACTATAATTCAAAGGCATCAATTCTTCTTCAGCCTTCCCTATTCATTATCCAGCTTTTGCGTACATATAAGTGGTCTATCAACAGATGAATGGATAAACAAAATGTGGTACATACATACAATGGAATATTACTCAGCCATAAAGAGATGGAATACACAGGAATCAAATCGACTACATTTATGGAAAGAGACGATGGAAAAGCTCAGTATCATTTGTCAGAATAAGGCCAGGGGCTGACTGTGGAACAGATCATCAATTGTTCATATGCAAGTTCAAGTTGAAGCTGAAGAAAAACAAGTCCACGAGAGCCAAAATACGACCTTGAGTATATCCGACCTGAATTTGGAGACCATCTCAGGTATAGATTTGACACACACTTGGCGTTTCTCAAGCTGAAAGAACTGAAGAAAAAATTCAAGGCTCAAGTTGCAATTTTAAAGGATTCTATGGGCAAAATACTGAACAATGCAGGAAACACCAAAAGCAGATGGAAAGAATACATACAGTCATTGTACCAAAAAGAATTGGTTGACATTCAGCCATTTCAGGAGGCAGCATATGATCAAGAGCCAAGGATACTTAAGGAAGAAGTCTAAGCTGCACTGAAAGCATTGGTGAAAAACAAGGCTCCAGGAATTGACAGAATAGCAGTTGAAATGTTTCAACAAACTGATGCAACTCTGGAAGGGCTCACTCATCTATGCCAAGAAATTTGGAAGACAGCTCCATGGCCACGCAACTGGAAGAGATCCATATTTGTGCCCATTCCAAAGAAAGGTGATCCAATGGATTACAGAAATTATCAAACAATATCATTAATATTACATACAAGTAAAATTTTGCTGAAGATAATTCAAAAATGATTGCAGTAGTACATTAACAGGGAAGCACCAGAAATTCAAGCCAGGGTCTAGAAGAGAACATGGAATGAGGAATATCATTGCTGATGTCAGGTCGATCTTGGCTGAAAGCAGAGAATACCAGAAAGATGTTTTTTGTTATTGTTGTTATGTGCCGTCGAGTTGCTTCCGACTCATAGCAACCCTATGGGACAGAGGAGAATTGCCCTGTAGGATTTCTAAGGAGCAGCTGGTGGATTCAAACTGCTGACCTTTTGGTTAACAGCCCAACTCTTAACCATTGCACCAGCAGGGCTCCAAAGAGAAAGACGTTTACCTGTGTTTTATTGACTATGCAAAGGCATTCGACTGTGTGGATCATAACAAATTGTGGATAACATTGTAAAGAATGAGAATTCCAGAACACTTAATTGTGCTCACGAAGAACCTGTACATAGGCCAAGAGGCAGTTGTTCGAAGAGAACAAAGGGATATTGTGTGGTTTAAAATCAGGAAAGGGATGCTTCAGCACTGTATCATTTCACCATACTTATTCAAGCTGTATGCTGAGCAAATAATCTGAGAAACTGGACTATATGAAGAAGAACGTGGCATTAGGATTGGAGGAAGACTCATTAACAATCTGTGATACGCATAAGACACAAACTTGCTTGCTGAAAGCAAAGAGGACTTGAAGCATTTATTGATGAAGATTAAAGACCACAGCCTTCAGAATGGATTGCACCTCAACATAAAGAAAATAAAAATCCTCACAACTGCACCAATAAGAAGCACCATAATAAATGGAGAAAAGATTGAAATTGTCAAGGATTTCAATTTACTTGGATCCACAATCAATGCCCATGGAAGTAGCAGTCAAGAAATCAAATGATGTATTGCAGTGGGTAAATCTGCTACAAAAGACCTTTTTATACTGTTAAAAAACAAAGATATCACCTTGAGGACTAAGGTGTGCCTGACTCAAACCATGGTATTTTCAATCACCTCATATGAATTAGAAAGCTGGACAATGAATAAGGAAGACCGAAGAAGAACTGATGCATTTGAATTATGGTGTTGGCAAAGAATATTGAATATACCATGGACTGCCAGAGGAAAACATTTGTCTTGGAAGAAGTACAGCCAGAATGCTCCTTAGAAGCAAGGATGGTGAGACTTTGTCTCACATACTTTGGACATGTTACCAGCAGGGACCAGTCCCTGGAGAAGGACGTCATGCTTGGTAAGGTAAAGGGTCAGTGAAAAAGAGGAAGGCCCTCAACGAGATGGACTGACACAGTAGCTGCGACAATGGGGTCAAACATGACAACGATTGTGAGGATGGTGCAGGACTGAGCAGTGTTTCATTATGTTGTACATAGGGTTTCTATAAGTTGGAACCAACTCAATAGCACCTAACAACAACAATAAAGAGAAATGAAGTCCTGATACCTGCTATGACACGGATGAGCCTTAAAAAAACATTAGGTTGAATGAAGTAAGTCAAACATAAAAGGACAAATATTGTATCATCCCACTTATACGAAATATCTAGAATAGGCCAATGCATAGAGACCAAAGTATATTAGTGGTTACCTGGGGTGGGTAGAAGGGAAAAATGAGGGAGTATTGCTTAAGTGCTATAGAGTTTTTTTTAAGGGTGATGAAAAATTTGGAAACAGATAGTGGTGATCGCTGTACAATTGTTGAATGAAGTTACTGTCACTGACATGTACATGTAAAAATAGCTGAAATGTTTTGCTACATGTATTTCACCACAATAAAATTTTTAAAATTAAAAAAAAAAACAAAACAGCTCACATATTGTTGTTATTGTGGTTGTGTGCCATCTAGTTGATTTTGATTCATAGTGACCTGATAGGACAGACTGGAACTGCCCCGTAGGGTTTTCTAGGCTGTAATCTTTATGGGAGGTGATTGTATTTTGATTTACTATGAAACATTCCTCCGACTTCTCGCTGAACCTGTACTTCATACCCCTCTTTTCTCTCTTCCCACTGGCAATTAAATGTATGGTCCCTACTACTGTATCAGGTAAAATAGGTCCAAGGATAGGATGTAGTGTTGTCGTGAAAAGGAGCCCTTGTGGCGCAGCGGTTAAAGCATTCAGCTGCTATCCAACAGGTCAGTGGTTCCAACTCACCTGCTGCTCCTTGGGAGAAGGATGTGGCAGTCTGCTTCCATAAAGATTATGGCCTTAGAAACCCTATGAGACAGTTCTACTGTGTCCTATAGAGTCGCTATGAGTCAGAATCGACTGGATGGCCGTGAGTTTTTTTTTTTGTTTTGTTTCATTTTTTTGAGGAGTTGAGCTGGTGCCCGGAAAAACAAGTAGCCCACTGGTATAGGGGAATTGAAGAGAGTTTAGTGTGGGGACTATTTATGGAGGCTTGAGCAGAATTAAGGGAACCAGCACAGAATGGTGAAGCACCCCAGAGAAGTAATGGTGGGGAGCCATTGCCACTCCTATTCCTGAAAGGACAAGAGGGAGGGTGTTTCCAAGAACCTGGTAAGAGCACCATAGTAGAGAACCCAGACAGAGCTATGGCCAACTTGTGACCCAGCAGCAAGGGAATTAAGGGAACTCATAGCCCAAGTTCTCTCTGCACCCATCCTCTGTTTTCCTGCTGGTACCCTCCATTGGCCAACCTTGACTGGAAGCCAGGGGGTAAGGGAGCCTCACTGATACCGCCCACTGAGGCCAGCTTCCTAGGACATGGAGCAGCATAAAGAAGGATGGACAGTAGGTCTAGAAAAGCAAATGGAAAAGAATTAGCACTGTGCCTATTGGCTCCACTGGGCTTTATTCAGGCTCAAATGGAACTGTACCTACACCTTGAGTATCCTCC